GCTCTTGGGAGGCGAGACGCGCGGACATCACGAGGTCAGGCGAGATCGAGACCATCCTGGCTAACATACCCAGTGAAACCCGTCTCTACTAAAAAAATAACATTATACAACTAGCCCCCGGCCGCGCGTGGGTAGACCGCCTGTAGTGCCCCAGCATTATCTCTCTATGTGTATGTGTTTCTGACGTCATGGAAATGGCCGTGAAACCCCGGGAGGCCGAGCCCTCTGCAGTGAGCTCGAGATCGCGCGCCACTCGCACTCCAGCCCTGGGCGGACCAGCAGCGACGACTACTGTCTCAAAAAAAAAAGAACACAACAAACACAACAAACAAAAAGAACATATTCAAAAGGCGCTGGGACAGAAGAGTCATCAGAGGTCATTTCACATCCTCTTGAGGAGCACAGGTCACTCCAGACTATATTTTTCCTAGATGACTGGGGGACCCTGCTCTCCTCCTTTTGGCTCTAGGGACTTGATTTCTGAAGACGGGTCATGCTCCAACATCTAGTTTAGAGTTTTTCTACTACACCACTTGGTCTCTTATTTTAATTTATTTCTCTGCTTTTTGGTTTTATTCTTTTTTAATCTCCTGGATCACAATATAATCATTTGAATTTTTGTTGTGTATACAAGGGCTCACAGAAAATGTGTAATAAACGTGGTTCGTGGGAAAATCTTGCTAACGGAATCCAGTAGATTAATAACTGAGAAAATAAGGCACACATAACAAAAGGTTGTTCATGGCTGTAAGTTCAAGAGTGGGAATTGATTAGAGTGATAGAATAAATACATGTGCATATGTTCTGAATTGATTAGGAATATTAAAAAGATACCTAGATTCCTAGAAAAATTAAAAAGAAACATTTTTTCTAAGAAATATGAAGTTCAAGTATAAACTTACCAAACAACAGAAGTGATAAAGTGTTAGCATAAAAAATTAGCATCATGATTATTCTGTATTGTTTACACAGATCTATCAAGTCAAATGTTTGGCCAGAGCCATTCTTTATTCAGTTATCAAAATGATAGAGTCATTTGGATGAGTTCAGAGACTTCTGCCTTATGATAAAAAAGATAATTGTAAATCAAAAAAGAGTTTAAAGGCTATACTAATTAAACAGCTAATTGGATATTAGAAGATTTGTTTCTCCAAACTTCTACTATTTTTGATTTTCTTTTCTGTTTGTGGAAGTTTTGGGAAGCAACGTTTTATTCTGTGATTAGCTTCAAAGAGTTTCAGGCATGGGTTATGGGACTGGACCATGTATACTTGAAGTGTGCTTCAAACCATAAAATTCTATGAGATTTTGTGAGCAACTACATCTTATTAATAAAAAGAATTGCTGTTTATACCCTATTTTAAAGTACTTATTTTTGCTTTCTCAAATATAAGGATGATGTACTATGAATTTGTAGTATCATTAACTATGAAGACAAAAGATATAAAAATTTACTGTTCACTCATTTTTCCTTAATTTCCAAGAACCTTAATCTGGAATTTAAGCTTAAGCTTACTTTAAACATTATCTTTATTGTTTTATTTTCTATGAAAAAAAATCCAACCTATCTATTAGTATGCCACTTTAAAAATATTAAAAGCCAGTGGATAACTGCAAAAGAAGGGCTTTTAATTTTATATCAAATAATAAAATAATTTATTCTATTGATAATTCCAAACTCTCAAATAATATCTTGCTGCAGTACTAAGGAAATGGACAAAGGAAGAAAAAACAGCTTTTCATGCCTTTCCTGAAACAACTGTAGGAAATTTTTGTCATGCTACAATTATTCTGTGATCATGAAAAATTCTTTTAAAGACATGATAGCCACAACCATTTTATCTTCTGACTTACTAAGCAGTCTGAGGGTGAATAGAGAGTTTCGATTCCAGCTTATGGTTATAATTACTAACTGCAAAAATCCTATTGCCTTTCATTAAGTAGTTCAAATATTTAATTGAGACTACAGGGTGTCCACACACAGCGTTGTACCATGCATAATTATCCCTACACATACAGGAACACTGAGGGTACTTTTAACAATAAAACAGATTATCAAAAAATTACATTTTTAATTTAAGTTTTGACTTTAATCTTTTTTGTGGTTAAATACACATTTCTGCATTTTTTCTGCAAATGAGGACCTTAAGCTAAATAAATGAACCATAAAGTGACAGAAAAAAAAACTTTGCACTGTTACATAAATGGATAAATCTTTAATATGCATTAAACATAGCACTATGTCTTTATTTTCTAACAGCTTGTATGAGAAAGAAGAACTGGTGATGCAGGAAGTCAAATACCACCAGCTTAGTGGGTCAGCATCCTCTCCTCCCACATAAGCGGAGCTCAGAGCATGAGATAAAATAACTGGGTGCCCTTTGCTCCAGCCTCGTGCTCCCACAACTTTGCTTCTGACAGAGTACTTATCTCTCTGACCACTGGGAAACTACTAAAAGAGAGAAACTTGAAAAGGATTGGACCTTTCTGTGCAGATCTCTTTGAAAATTGTCACCTTCCAGGTTAGCTTTTAAGAGAAGCCCAATATATTAGGAATCTGAAAATAAAGGAAAGTTTGCACATTGAAACATCACTTGCTAATAGTT